GAGAATGAATCTGAAATGGATGCTGTCCAGTAGGTGGGAGGGTCTGCTAGGGAGGCTGTGCTGCTAATTGGCTGGAATGTGTCTGCTGACTGTGAGGTACAGGGTCAAAGTTTACTCAATGATGACGAATAGGGGGCGGGTCGAACCGCGCATATGTTCGCACGCCGTGGCGAACGCGAACATGCTATGTTCGCCAGGAACCGTTCGCCGGCGAACCGTTCGGTACATCACTAATGTTAACTATTCATATCTGTTTTCAAGGAAATTTTGTGGTTGCACTTGCTACCGGATCACAGCAGGTAGCTGTAGCTATGGTTAAATATGTTGATGAAGGGCGTGGCCTGGACGCCGAAGGAGATGGCTGCCTGATCGCGGAGCTCCGTCCCGCTCAGCCACAAACAGCGCACCCTCAGCTCCCAGACCTGTCAAATGGGTCGAAATAAACAGCCGGACTCTCACCCAACAGAGGGACGGCCGCAGCAACAGCAGACCCCGGGCACACTAGACGGATACCTCCGAACCCCGGCCAGACAGACACGCGCGGCCCCAGGAGCCAAGATGGCCGACGGACAGGCCGCAGCACCACGGACCTCCGAGGCACAGGGCCCCTCCCTGGCAGACATAAGAGCGGACATTATGGCCCTCACTGAAGCTATGGTCACCAAGTCAGACCTCCAGGCTCTGTCTGCCAACCTGCACGAGGCAATCAGGTCAGAAGTAGCCACCATACAGAGAGACATTGCAGCACAAGATGGCCGCATACAATCCCTTGAAGCCACGAATCAAACAACGGTAAACAGGCTGGAGGCTACCCACACAGCAATAACTAAACAGGGCACGATGCTCCTGCAACTGAGAAGACAGACGGAAGATTTAGACAACAGGGGGCGCAGAGCAAACATACGGATTCGCAATTTACCAGAGGCTCAAGGTGCAGAAGATGTTGCAGCAACCCTCACGGCTCTCTTCATGGAAATTCTGGGCCCTGACGCCCCACAGAGATTCGAAGTCGATCGGGCACATAGAGCCCTGAGACCTAAGATGGACGGCGGCCCGCCGAGAGACGTCATTTGCTGTCTTCATGAATATAAGATAAAAGAGCTCATTATGGCGAAAGCCAGAACCAAACCAACGTGGCGGTTTGGCAGCTCAGAAATTGCCCTATACTACGACCTGTCCCCACTCACGCTAGAGGCAAGAAAAGCCCTGAGACCAATTACGCAACTACTGAGAAGCCGCAATATCCCGTACAAGTGGGGCTTCCCATTCTGCCTCACAGCAAAACATAACAACGAGTGGAGGTCCCTATGCTGGCCCGATGAGGTGCCAAATTTCCTACGAACCATGGGGCTGCCAAACACGGAAGTAGCAGATTGGGTCCTGGACTCCCTGGAACAGAGAAACAATCAGCCAGCACCAAGAGCCCCGAGACGCCGCAGAGAGGACTCTCCGCAAGGCCTCTCAGCCCGCAGATACCAACCACCGGCCCAACAACAAGCACAACCCGGAGAACACTATGCTGCACGGCAGACGACTATTTCCACAATGCAGTGCAGCCACAACGAAGAATCTCCCGCAGACGACGAAGACTGGACATAGGACACAATGGACGCACAGATAAGTAATCTACACAACTACACATACAACGCTATAGACATTGACACATACCCCCATGACGCCCACCCCACCCAGAACACTGGCTGTTGGCAACGCGGTCAGGCTAGGCCCAGAACTACCCACCATAAAGATGGTAGTAAAGACATGGCTACGCCGCAAAGCCCGCCACTTTGGGGCTGACTCATCACCAAGGGCAGTTGCTCAGCGACCCCACATAGACGCTTTTGGGAAAGACAGCACGTTGGGGAGGGGGGATACGACAGGCACGTGCAGAGGGAAAGAGACTAAAGGTCTTGAGCAGGACACACTACACCCGGATGGGGGGGGGGAAAATGGAGACCTGAACACGACACGTGCCAACAGAAGCTTGGCACAGGCTGACAGCCGATAGACACGTACGAGGGAACTGTGCGGGAGAGTGGAGGAGAGGCAGGGGCTTGAGACCTAGGAAACGGCTAACACGTTACCCCCGGGGGGCGAGGAGAGAAGGTCAAAGATCCTGAGACTCCGGGACGAAGGGGAGAGAGAGGAAGAAGAGAAGGAAACTGGGAACATGGACATATGGGGATATGCAATGCATGCGATAACACCCCTCCCCTGCTTCACCTCAATAGGCTTCACCCCCCCCTTTTTTTTCCCCAATACAGCTACATTGGTCGCACCCCGAATTGTTTAAGGTTATTTGAGGAAGGGTGAAGGGTGAGGGGGGGGGAGTAGATGGGGGGGTGGGGGGGAAAAGTTTAACTAGAAATGTATGCAAATGTATGTACATGATTCTCTGTATACTTGAAAGATGACACTGCCCCGCCTTACAGCAACCCGGAGGGGATATGGGGGAGAAACGAGGTGGCGAGTTGGAAGCCCAATCGGATACGGTCCCTAACAAGACGCAGTGCGGAGGAGTGCACTCCCCCACGCATACCACAGACCCTGACGACACCCATGACACGATAAGCCCTGACGGCACTACCACCACTACTCCCTCATAACAACCTGTAAGGGGCAGATCAGCACGTTCCATGAGTAATTGCGCACCAGCTCGCAACCATGCCCAATTGCCCACAGATACTCCCTGGAGACACCCTCGGCCCCCACCCCCAAATAACACTGCAAGTGCCCCCCGAATCGGCCCCTATGGGACCCGCCCCCTCTGCAAGAGACGACATCCCGACTCCCACCGTGAGCAGGACAACTGACAGCTTTATAGGGAGATGACTCGTTCCGCTAACTACACGTGCTATACAGACCTAGGCCTAGGTCACGACAGACGCGAACACCACCTCATTGACATGGTTACCATAAAGCTACTCATACAGTGCAACACGGTGCACCCGCTTAGCTACACATATAGCGGGAACGACGTCCCACACCACATTAATAGATTACTTCGATCACACTACAAGGTACAGGCCACTACCTGACGTAATACCCGTGTAGACTAGCCATTGGGAGACTCACTGCCGACGCCCGGCCGGACGTAGACTTCGGCGGTACGGCTCTGACTATCTACCCAGTTACACGGAGCCTTCCCACATTGGGAGCTAGAATACAACCAAACGACACTTGCACCAACACACACACGGCAATAGAAGGAGAAGTGGACAGCCACGTCCGACCCTTAGACACGAAAGGGAGGCAAATACTCACACACGACCACTAGCAACCCACGAAAGGATACACAACACACGAACACCACCCAGTCCTACCCCCACCCTATCTTACCCTCCCTGATCACCCGTGTCCATCCAAGAGGGAGCTCGCCGAGTCGCGTCTGGGCCGACCCGTAAGAAAGCGCTCGTGGTGCCCCCCCTGGTTCTAGGGGTAGGTACGGCGGCGCTGACCCATTTGGCACCGCGGGGAATACGAATGGCGTACGCGCCGTCACCCTTAGTGGTACACTCCCAAAACTGCAGAGGACTCAACATACCGGAGCGAGGGTCACACCTCTTGCGCAGTCTCAAACAACAACATGTATCAGTGGCAATGCTCCAAGAAACGCATCTCAGACCAGAAACAAACAAACTGCTCAAAGATAAAACGTATCCAACGAATTACTATAGTAACCACCCAACGGCACGCAAAGCTGGAACGGCAATCCTCCTGGCATCACACCTACAATTCAAACCAATAGACACGCTATCGGATGCGGGAGGCAGATTCCTCTTCGTCAAGGGCGAGATAGCACAGAAGGTCTATACCTTTGCTACGGTATACACACCCAACAGTGGCCAAGCGAGTTTCCTCAGGAGAACACAAAGTTATCCCGATTCACGGAGGGCGCCCTCGTACTGGGAGGCGATCTTAATGTCCCACTGGATCCTAAGATGGACACCTCCAAGGGCCATAGCAGTGTACCAACAGCGACGCTAAAGACAGTGCACAAAGCCCTCAGGGACCTGAGGCTGGTGGATACATGGAGAGCGTTTAACCCTGAGGGAAGGGACTACACGTACTACTCCACTGTCCACGACAGGTACTCCAGAATCGACTATATCCTGGTGCAGCAAGAGGGACTCACGTACGTACAGAAAGCAGCTATCCTCTCCACGACATGGTCGGAGCACAGCGCGGCGCAGGCTACTGTGACTTCACCCCTGTTCAGACCGACTAAAACAGCCTGGCGGCTAAACGACTCCTTTCTGACCGACGCGACGATGAGGGAGAAGATCGCAGAACACCTAAACCAGTATTTTGAGGAGAACGACACGGAAGACGTGACTCCCATGTCGCTCTGGGAAGCTCATAAAAGCATGATCAGGGGCCACCTTATCTGTATGGCCACCCAGCGCAAGAGGGAGGCCGGCCAGCAAATCAGGGAGCTCGCACGACAAATCTCAGACCTGGAAGCGGCGCACAAACTGGACCAACAAGCACAGACCTACAGGACCCTGATAGCGACTAGAAAACAGTTGGCAGAGATCTTAGAACGCAGACATGCAAGAACAATACAGCGTTCGCGTGCCTTCTTTTACACACACGCCAACAAAGGAGGCAAACTCCTAGCACAGATGCTGAGAGGCACACAAGGCAGGGCACAGGTACACGTTATACGCACCACACACAACCATACCACACAATTTCCGGAAGAAATTGCGAATGAATTTAAAAAGTTCTATACTAAACTGTACAATATAAACGAGGATGAAGGAGATCCCCCAAGGGCCGTGAAACAGAGAGACGTGGCGGCATACCTGAGGAACTTCCAACCGAACGCCCTCACATCGGAAGAGGCAGAGGAACTCGAAGCTCCGATCACAGAAGGAGAAATCCGACTAGCACTGAAAGAAGCGAAAACAGGGAAAACACCGGGCCCGGACGGCTTCCCTGTGGAATATCTTAAGAAATTCGGACACACCCTCGTACCACATCTCACCAGAGCCCTGAACAGCCTGAGAGACGGCACAACCTTCAACAAAGAGACTCTGACCGCAACAATAGCGGTAATCCCGAAGCCAGGCAAGAATACCGAACAGGTAGGAAACTACCGCCCAATCTCACTCCTCAACGCCGACGTCAAGCTGTTCTCGAAGGTTCTGACTAAAAGACTACAAAGACATATGACTAGACTAATACACCCAGACCAGACGGGCTTCATACCTGGCCGAGAGGCCAGAGACAACACCCTAAGGCTCTTCGCCATACAACATCTATCAAAGAAAATGGGAACGAAGCTACTACTGCTGTCGACGGACGCTGAAAAAGCCTTCGACAGAGTAGATTGGCACTTCATGACGGAAGCACTACGTGCGACAGGTATCGGAAACGGCATGCTCACATGGATCACGGCACTATACAACCAACCAACTGCCAGGATTCGAGTAAATGGGGCACTCACGGATGACTTCCACATCAAGAATGGCACAAGGCAGGGCTGCCCACTATCACCCCTACTATTCGCCCTCACGCTGGAGCCGCTTCTAGACAGCATTAGGAAAAATGAAGGAATATTGGGCTTCAGACACGGAATGCATGAACACAAAGTGGCCGCATACGCTGACGACATGCTATTCTTTCTCGAGAACACGCTTACCTCCGCCGCCCAGTTAATGTCGGAATTCGAAACATATGGATGCTTGTCTGGACTCAAATTGAACCTGACGAAATGCGAAATCTTAAACGTCACCGTCCCGGAGGAAGAATGCGCTCAGTTTAAACGGCTATACCCCTTCCACTGGTGCCCAAGCCGAATGAAATATCTTGGGCTGTGGGTCACACGCGAGGCCAAAGACATCTACGCCCAAAATCACGTACCCCTCCTGCAGACCATTCTTGAAGACCTTAAAAGATGGCACTACTCCCACATATCTTGGCTGGGGAGAATTGCAGTGATAAAAATGAATGTTTTACCGAGGCTACTCTACATATTTCACACAGCCCCACAGGTGATACCGCAGGCATTTTTCAGGATACTCAAAACAGCAATCACACAATATATTTGGAGAGGGGAGAAGGCCCGCATTGGCTTTGACAAGCTCTGCTTACCAAGAAGCTGGGGAGGGTTAGCCCTGCCCGACATCAGAAAATACCACCAGGCTACAGTACTGCCGAGGCTCAAGGAACTCCACACGGACACACCCGACAGAAGGTGGGTTACGCTCTGGAGGGAATCCACCGAGAAAAAATTACACACACTGATTTGGCACAAAGAAGCAGACGCACACATAATACTGGGAGAAGACTCCCCACTTACACACACCCTGAGACACTGGAACAAGCTGAGGAAAGGACAGCAGATCTCACCCAAACCCAGCCCGCTGATACCGATCACGTACAACCCTAACCTGGGGGACAGCCTCCCGCCAACGGCTTGGCCGATGGAGCACCAAGATGGATACATACCTATCTACGCAACTCTAAGCAACACGGGAGTGAAACCACTACGGGACATATTGGAAGAGAGACCGCACACACTACTGCACCAATTCCGTTACGCCCAACTAACCCACTACTACCACAATCTACCTCATAGAGCCAAAATACACAGGGACCTCACGTGGTTCGAGAACCTATGCACTCAGACAACGGCGACTACAGGTAGGGTCTCCATGATATAGCAAAGCATTCTGACAGGACATAGAACAGAAAACACCCTATACAAACGGCAGTGGGAGGAATGGACGGGGGAATCTTTTGCGGATAACCAGTGGGAAAAGATCTTAATCCTACAACACAAAAGTTCCATTAGCTCCCATTACCAGGAGGTGAACTACAAGCTCCTTACACACTGGTATCGCACCCCCTCCCTGATAAATAGATTTGCACCAACCATCCCGAACGTCTGCTGGAGATGCGGAGACAGTCCCGGTTCCCTGAAGCACATCTGGTGGGACTGCGATAAAATTAAACCGTACTGGGGGAACATTAAGCAGGAAATAGAACGCATCCTAGGAAACCCTGTGGACCTTACAATGGGAGCCGCTCTCATACACCACACGGATAGACCCATACCCTCCTACAAAAAAATCAATTCTGCGACACCTGCTAAACGTGGCGAAATCCCTAATCCCACTGCACTGGAGGGACGAACATATACCCACAGTGGAACAATAGAAGACTAAAGTTGAAGACATAAGAAGGGCAGAAGCCAAAATAGCTGAAACAATAGGCAAGGAGGAAAAACATACAGAGCTGTGGAAACCCTGGATATTGTACATCTCTTAACACAAGACGCAGAAACAATACACCCAGCTAGGAGAGCCGGGACGGGCCCGGGACTGGGTCCAGACGCGACTCGGAATGAGGCGGATACCCACCCTCACTCTCCACATCCCCTACCCTCCCCCCCACCCCCTATCTCCCCTCCTTATCCTCATACGGGGAAAGCCTTCACACACACATAATATGCAGGAACGTGGGCGACAAAGAAGACACTCACACCAGAGGCAGATATTACTCACAAGTAGAATAGAAAGGACACACAATAAACATCGCTGACAAGGAGCACATAAAACAGCTATACACACAAGTAACACATGCTGAGCTATCACGGACACAACAACAAACACATTAAACGCCAGAAACAAGACAACGCAACTCTCTACACCCAAGTTAACACCTAGACACACGACTAATACGAAACTACAAAATGAAAGTTAAAAACCTACGCACAATGACATCACAGGACAAGGGAAAGAGATAAATAGTAAGGAGACATGCCACAACCGTTCAGATACGCAGAAGGAACAGACAAGACATCTGACGACAGAACCGCAGACTCGCGACAAACAGAAACCTCGGGTCAATACGTACTAATCCTACTACACCCAGACGAGCCACAAACAATGACTGAATAATTCCGACACGTAAACAGCACCAGCGAGACTGAACGGAGCCCGGACAGTTTTCCCCTAACGCCCACGATCACACTAACGCCTGGGTATACAGTAACAATTGGTGCACTCAAAAACCATAGCTGTGACGCTAGAAATTACCAGGGACCTGCGAGTCCGGCAATATTGTGGGCCTGCAAGCCCGAGAACGTTCCCATATGTCATGATAACTACACCAATGAATGGTGCTCGTATTGTTGCAGAATGTGGTATATCTCTTGGGACCTGCGAGTCCTATTTTTTCTTGACTTTGATAACACAAATAAAAAAAATAAAAAAATTAAAAAAATATGTTGTTGAATGGAAACTCTTAATTATTTATGTAACGGCACCCTCAGCATAAAAGGGTAAAACCGCCGTTAAGAAGATCTTCCCCTTCCAGAGATGCGGGCACAGCTACTGCAGAACACCAATCCGCCGAACAGGAAACCATACGAATGCTGTAAACAGCCGAATAGGAAAAAACATACGAATAGGTTTACACTCCTAGCAGTCGAACTGGAACAGCATACAATAAATCCCCCCAAGAACGAGACAAAGCTCCGTGTTGAGGGTCAAGCAGTGAACAGCCAGAGCTGTGGGTTTATTGTGCTTATGTACACATTCTTACACATTAGTACCACCCACAGGGTTTTGGAACACAACCAATAAACACATACAATACACTCAGACACTCCCACACAAATTCCTCCCCTCTGCATGTGATTCAATTACCTTACACAATGGGTAATGTAATTTAGCACAAGCAGAGAAATAAAATTTTTCCACATTATTTATAACTTGAAAAGTATGCATCACATTCACATAAAACTTACATTTTCAGAATCAGCATACTCCAAATACAAACATACGTCATACGTCAAATCATACAAATTGGTCCAGTGGTTCAAAAGATAGATCGTAGTCCTTTGTGACCAAAGGAAGCATGGCTTTTCTGCCCAAAACCAGTTCCACAGAGTCTTCTATCCTGGAGATAATTAGAAGTAATCCAATTATCTCCAAAGACAGAGGCAAAACTCCATTGAACACATGGCAGCAAAAAGACAGTAAAATACAATAAAATACACAAGGTTACATTTATGACATAAAATACAGACATGCAACATATGCCCAGATAGCTTAGGTCTGAGCGCACATTAATACTGAATGGCGCTCAGACCACAAACACATACAGTTCAATTGCCATGGAGCCAAAGTCTTTTATTACATGAATAGGCTCCATGGCATACCTATCTGGGTTATATGAGTTCATTCAGTAAATCCGAGAATCTACCGAATACCGGGCAGAAAAGCACGAATAAGTCTTTTCTGCAGTGAAAAATATGTCTTTTAACATGGGGCCATAGACCAAAGGCAGCAGGCGAGCAACCAGGCTTCTCCAATGCAATGTGGCGAAATTGCTCTCGTCACAATTTATTTTAATAATTATAATCAGTAGGCATCAATATGAACAAACCAGTTAATTTCATCCAAATATCAGGGGACAAATGACATACAAAATATATTTTACCAGAACCTCCATTTGTAGAACTTAAGAATGTAAGAATTAATTTATTTGTTTCATATATATTTAAACAACAACCAAGCCATTTCCAAAAGATCTCGTGTTTGCATCTCAATGAAAATCTTTCAGTTTTCAGTACCAGAGAATCTGTTTTTTCTACAATCCTACTATACAGACCACCTTACCAGGAAGCGTCCTGAGGCAAGAGACTTAATTATATTTACACACCTGTCTCAACAATATGAAAGTAACATGAACTAAGAGAGTCATGCTGACTCAGACGTCACCTGGATTAACACGTTTCAGGTCTACTATAACAGCAGAACCAATGAGAGAGGCATGGGTGAACTATTGATGAATAAAAGGACACCATCTAAACCAGGGGTAGGTAACTTTTGGCACTCCAGATGTTGTGGACTACATCTACCGTGATGCTTTATGAGCATTGTGGCTGTAAGAGCATTATGGGAGATGTAGTCCACAGAATCTGGAGTGCTGATTAACACTAACACCAAAACGGCTAAATGCACAATGTTAGAAAATTGTAAAGAGGAAGCTGGAAATGAAACAATACCCACCATGGAGACTAAGACTGAAAGCCAAGCTAAAGGCAATGCGTAAGGAAGTTAGTAAGCTACATCAACCTCACAGAGGTGGTAAGATCAAGGATAGGTCTTGGCTACTGAGGAAACAGTTAAGCAAAAGCTGACAGCACTGGCACTGGCAAACATGCTGAACAGATAAACCAGAGAAACAGAGGTTAAGAGAATAAATATGTTGTTTATCAAAGAACCATCCAAAGTGTACACACAGGCTGCAGGGCAACATATCCACCCAGTTCTAAGATTAAACAGTAACGGAAGCATATCTAGGGGAAGGAAGCACCACATAACAATATGGCCCAGTGGCTAATAGACCTGAAAGCAGACCACTGCATGTTCCCAGAACAGAAACAAGTCACCATCACAGTCTGACATATCGAACAATGGGTAGCCCACATGAAATATTGGTCAGCACCCGGATCTTACATGATCCACACCTACTAGAAAAAAAACTAACAATGCTACATGAACACTTAGCAGCACAAATGAACGAACGTTGCAACAGGCACCCACCCTCACTGGCTAGCACCAGGCAAAACTATACTGCTCATAAAGGACATTTACAAGGGAACTACACCAGCTAACTATCGACCAATAACCTGTCTTCATACAACATGGAAGGTCTTATCAGGCATCATAGCCTCCAAGATTGAGGGGCATATAAGACAATACTCAGAAGTGGATAAGAAACAACACAAAATTCTTAAAACCCCAAGACAGTAACAGCTTTCATCAAGAACTTGACGGGAAAGCGGAATACAATTTTAGAAGTCAATTCCAGGACACAAGTGAACATCAAAAGTGACATAAACCAAAGTGATGCACTATCTCTGATACTGTTCTGCTTAGGTATTTTTACCTGAAGCTGAAGGAAGCAAGGTGAATTGTTAGTGTAGGACTCAATTTGGAAGTGGCAGGAGAGCTTACAATCTAATGGCCATTGTAATAATCACAAGTTGATTGGGAAATGCTACCTCCCAATTATATTCTGTCTTCTTGATCAAGGCAAATTCTTTTAGGCTTGCTGATAAGAGACAGAGACACTGCACACTCGCTACATTTTCTACTTATACTGATATGACTCATAGCATAATCACCTCATCACTGCAACCCTGTCCTCTCACTTTTTGGGGTCATAGGGGTGACATGGACCGATCAGTGTCCACCTCAGTATTTAAATTAAGCTTTAGCCCAATAGTTGAAGTTGACGCCTGATGCATGTCATGGCCACAGCCCCAGATGAAACACAGAGCATTCATAAGTACATCATAAAGATGGTTCCCAAAGAAGAACTGCTAATGGAATGCCTGAGGCAACAACAGATAGAGGGTGCAGAAAGAAATGAGGTTCCATGGCATGACAAACTTCTCCATGGAATTCTTGTATAATTTTAGTTATACCACTTTTATTTTTGTCTAATTCTTAACAATTCTTATCAATTTAAAGACAACACAAACTTATTTTCTTTATGTAAAAAATCATTGGGTATCCTCTGTTAGCAAACTTCTCTACAATGTTATCAAGTCTTAACTCCAAATTGGTCTCAAGGGAAACATCCCTGAATACTTTCATCATTTGACTTGAGGTAGTGAAATGATTATGTTTGGAGGATAATTAATACTATAATGGAGTAGACCAGTCTGGTCAGTGGGCTTATTGTAGAAATCTGTAGAGTAGGAGAAATTATGGAATCGGATCTTCAGATCCAAAAAGCCAATCTCCTCATAACTCCATTGCATATTGAAATTAATATGTTCCACTACCTAATTGATGTGATCAATGAATGTATCCAGACCCTCTATGGAGCCTCTCCTTATGCCAAAAATGTAATATTCCTCATTCTCTGGTCCTCTACCAGAGGCCTTGGAGTCTGAGGGTTCTGCACAGTATCTTGGCTGTTCCTAGTACTGCACTCTTCTGGACAGTGATCTCAGATGTCCCACCTGCAATCTGTTGAAGCCACTCCCCCAACTTAGGAGTCACAGCCCCAAGTGTTCCTATCACAACTGGGACTACTAATGCCTTCACATTCCACATCCCTTCTAGCTCTTCTTTCAGTCCTTGGTATTTGTCCATCTTCTCCTGATCTTTTCTCGTGATGTTATAGTCACTGGATATTATCACATCCACCACAACTGCAGTCTGCTGTTCCATGATGTCAGGTTTGTTGGCCACTACTTGCTTGTTTGTCTGGATCTGGAAGCCCCACAGCATCTTAGCTTGTCATTCTACCCTTTGTGGTATCTTCCATCTGAACCTAGGCAGGTCCAGCCCAATTTCTGAGCAGATATTTTGGTACACAATACCAGCAACTTGGTTGCATTTCTCAGTGTATGCATTTCCCGCTAACATCTTGCATCTAGATGTACTGTATTGTCTCAGACACCTCTTTGCACAGTATGCACCTTGAGTCTTTTCTGGTGTTCTAGACACCCGCTTCTATTTATAAGGTGTCAAGTGCCCATTCCTGTGCTGCTGGGATTAATGCCTCAGAAGTGCCTTTTCCACTCAGTGGTAGGATTTTGTCACGTGAGCTACATCCCCTATCTGCCAGAAGTACAACCCGTTAAGAGGATTATCTTGCCATGGAACCTCCTCCTTTTCTGCATCTGTTGAAATCTCAGACACTCAGAAACACCAGAGAAGCAGAGGCTAAGAGAATCAATGCCCTGTTTACCGAAGAACTGTAAGGAATCCTTTACTTACCTTGGCTGTTCCTCCAATTAAGCGGACCACCTCCTTCAGCCTTCCTACCTGATCTGATAGTGTCCTGGATGCTGTGCGCACACCCCCTTTTTATGACATGGCGCACGCGTGCCGACGTCAGACTAAGGTCACTACTATGTGCAGGATTTACAAACATCCTCTTATGTTTTGGAGTTGTGACTACATTAATCGCGTCCCCAAACATATAAAAGCTAACTAAACCAATGTTTCAGTGCCCTGTTGTGGTTCTTAGCTTGCTAATGTCCCAAGAGTGTGTTTGTATTTGGTTTAGTGTTTATCTGGTTTTGGCTCGGCTTCTTCCCAGCCTATTCTGATTTCTGGTTCCCTTGACTTGGCTCTGATATTTCGTATTTGCTGTTTTCTGGTTCCCTTTGACGTTGGCCTGTTTTAAATATTCTTTTTATTGTTACCTTCAGTCCGGCCATTCTAAGGTCCAAGTTTAGCTAATTGTCCTTTTACCTATTGGAGGGTTAATATTCTGTGTGTTGAGTCACTCCATATTCGTGACATTACAACAGGGCCATTATGGATCCTGCTGGTATTAATCCCCCAGTCTCTTATGATACATGTTTAGATGGTCTTGACCACAGGATGGATCAGTTTGCTCAGGCTTTACAAACATTGTTTAACCGTTCAGCAAACATGCAGCCCAAAAGTCAAAGGAAGCCGATAAATTGCCCCCACATCGTTCTTACGATTGTGCCATTGACTTACATCAAGGTACTATGCCTCCTAGAGGTTCTGTATATCCTCTTTCTCAGAAGGGGAATACCATATTGGAGGAGTATATAAAAGAAAATCTTGCTAAATGTTTTATTTGTAGGTCTTCTTCGCCAGCTGGGGCTGTTTTTTTTTTCTGTCTAAAAAAGAAGGGGATCTTGGACCATGTATCGATTATTGGGGGCTCAATAAGACAACCGTGTGTACAAATGTGTATCCTATACCCCTTATTACAGAACTTTTTGATAGACTCAAAGGTTCTAGAATTTTTACTAAACTAGATTTGCGAAGGGGAAT